GACGCACGATGACATCCCTGTCTGCCACGATGCCCGCTGCGGCGGGCCCCTACGACTTCGCTACACGATCCCTGTCATCAACCTTCGGTGAACCATCGCAAAGCTCAATCGCAAGTCTCCAGTGAATATGCACTTGACGCACGCGTTCAAACATCCACTTCGCGATGCGTGTGGTCTTGTGGTCGTTGTTATCTTAGCTGAGCCCCATGATGTCTGGCTGTGAAGTGTCCCTCTCTCACTCGAGCCGTCCGGGCAACGCCAGCGACGACCATACAGACAACTGACGCGGCGTCTGCTGGTTCAGACAACTAAGAAGCCTCCACCAGGCTCTTTGACTGTAACTCGCCCCGTCGCCGTCGTCGCCCCATTTCATGCGTCGCTTGCCCCGTGGCTACAAGCGCTGCCGCAGCACCCGAGGTTGCCCGCCGCAGACGTTCCGACGCTGAGCGCCAGATCAGCTCGCCGGACGAGTCCCCGTACGACCTTGACGACGCTCTCGACATCACCGGGCGGGCTTTCAGGATCACCAGACATGATGGATAGACCAAAACGTCCCCCGCCGCTGGCCCTCGCGCCGCCAAAGAAGCAGGACAAGTCCGTCTATCGCCAGACTATGAGCATCACTCCACCAGCCCCGAAACCTTACCAAGTCCCGCAACAGCAACCCCGTGCACCGTCGAGGCATGCCTCGCGGCATCGCTCCCATCGAGCATCGCCTTCTACGTCATGGATCCATCTCGCCAGCACGATCCTCCACATCCATCTCTGCGCTGTTCTTATCGCCGCGCTGGCAACTTTTCTTCACGACCAGCCTGCGGCGGCCACGACACAGATAGGGTGCGTCTTGTCAGGCTCTTGCGTTGGAAACTCCGACTAACACGTGAACAGACACAACGTCATAGCCGCTCTGATTTTCCTCATCTTCGACACCCTCCTCTCGCTGCTGAGCATCCTCCGTCCCTCCCACGCCATCACCCTCCTCGTGCGGTCGGGCATCGCCACGTGTCTCCTGGCGGCCTTCATCGCCTTCGCGGCGCACGTGCCTGGGCCGAGGGTCTTCACGCCAGGCTACCACCTCTGGGGCACCGTGTTTGAGACGGGCGACGGGCTCGTCGCGGCGCGTGTTTGTGATTGCGATGTGGGATTTCGGAGGGTTGCTTTGCGGGTGGCGGGTCTTGCTAGACTGTGTGCACGGCGGCAGGCCACTGACCAGCGGCCGCAGTGAGCGGGGTCAACGAAGCAAGAGTTCAATACGGGAGGGACGATGAAGGAAGTGGTGGTATCAACTGGTGCTGGGCCCCATGTTGAAGAACATAATCTCGAATGAGCAAGATGAGTGGCACACCCGCCACAAGAACCATATCCATTTGTGACTACTGGGATATCCTTACTGCAAGTCTAGGCGCATTCGCATCATGAGAGGGAGCACTGACATGACTATTGGGTATCGCACTCTTCGCCGTATCTACGTCTTCCTCCCACTGCTTTCTCCGTGCTTGCGCTTTGGAGCTCCCGTGGGCGGTTCCCTCCACCAGCTCCAACTCTGTAGCAGCCTTGACTCCCTCTGCGCTTTCGAGGAGGGCTCGAGACTCGTGCTGCTTGGGTCGGAGCTCGGGGTTGGATGTGCTCTGGTGGACTTGCCGCTTCGCCGTCTTCCTGGTTCTGCCGTCCCAGCTTCGAATACCGGCGTCTCCATTCTTGCCTTTCCTTTCGCGTCAGACGTTGGGCTCGTATCTGAAATGTTGTTGCCGTTCGCCTCCTGATGCGCATCTGAGTGCTGTTGCCGGTTTGAGCCACTCCCGTCGCCGCACTGACTTCCGGCTCCAACCACCTGCGTCGGCCGCCGAGCAACCCCGACACTCTACCCAAAGGCCGGCTCCACGGGCCGTCCATTTCGATCAATCATGAACCCACTGAACGCCTCCTCATCATTCTGTCCCAACAAGATCGGATCAGGTAGCTCGGGCGGCAACTTGCTGTACAGACCAATGCCGGCCTCGGGCCATATACCAGGTAGCGGCTCCTCGTCTGGCTGGTCGGCAATGGTCTCCGTCTCCTGAACCTTGCGAATGGCGGACGTCTTTGGTCGTTTGGTGACAGGCTTTGCCGCCGGTTGACGCACCTTTGGCGGCGCAAGGCGCGGTAGACTGGCTGGTGTTGTGAGGGCCTAAGTACTGGTCAGAAGGTCGGCGAGAGAAAGAGTCTAGTGAATACACTTACAACTGCCCAGTCTGGGTGGTTAAAGAGGGGGAGGTTTGGGTGTTTTTTCGACATGGAAACAAGGACATCGATGAGAAGCCTGTCTTTGACTGCGTCGCTGAACAGCAACAAATTGATGACGTCCGTCTTTCTGAGGGAGGAAAAGTATGCCCGACGCTATGACAAGTCAGCAACATGAGCCAAGCCGAAGAACGAGGAAGCAGGGTAAGCCAGAGGAGACTCACCGTTTCGCGGTCCGCATCGCCCGCCTTGAAGCCCACGAGCTCTGGTTTTTTAAACGCTGGAAGCTCCGCGAGCCTTGCGTTGCGCAGCTTCTCGACGTCGGCCACACCTCGCGACGATATCTGATCCTGGTGGAGCTTGTCCAGTCGGTAGGCATCAATGGCCGCCCCTTCCCTCACACACTCTGCACACTTGAAGCGTACCCTGTCGCGGACCGAACCGGCACCGATTTCGGGATCGTGGCAACGCTGATGCCACGACCAATCGCAGACAGGACAGACGATAAGAAGATTTTCGGGTGATTCTTCCGCGGACTCGCACTTATCGCAGCGTCGAGGGCCGTCTTCTTCGGTCCGCTTGTTGCGGAGAAGGGGCTTGGGGACGATACGCGCCGGGCGGTCAGCAGCGAGCGCCGCAGCCGCCGTTGGACCTATCGTCAACGGCGAATCATCGGCTTCGGGAGTCCGTTTCCTCTTGAGACTGGGCGTCGGTGGTCGCAGTGGAGGCAAAGTCCCCTCGGGCATGGATAGCGTAGAAGGCATGGGAGCGCATGCAGCAGTATTGCGGGCCGCCTTTTGTTCCCGAAGAACGTCTTCGTAGGTGACAGAGAACCATATAGGAGGATAGGGAGGCGCATTTGATGACTGCGTGTCTTTTTGTCTCTTTACTCGAGCGAGGATGGCGTCTCTCGTAGTAGGAAACTGCGGTCTATAGAGGCGGGACGCCGCTAATGGCAACTGTGTTGTAATTTGGGGAGAACCATTCAGCGAAGAAGGGAGCTTGCCGGCCTTTTCAATGACAATCGCCTCTGTTCCTGGAGGGTCAATGTCCATCGCGTCAGTTGTTGGGTGAACTGATTCCGACCCAGTGCCCTGTAAGCTCGCCCGCAGACTGGGCAATAGTGAGTGTGACATTTGGCTTAGTCTGCGAAGCTTGACCGCCTAAAAGCGACAAGTTTCATAGGCGAACTACCGTTCTGTGATGAAGAATAAAGGATCGGTTGATGTTCGAGGGTTCTCGGATCGCCGTCGTAAGATGGTTTAGAATGCCATTGAGAGTGAGCATGTGTTGTATGGAGCCTGAGCCGTCTTGCGTTCTGACAGCTGTCGTGAAAAACACACTGGTAGGTGGATGCCAGTATTGAA